AACTACTACCTATAGACTGTCACTGTATGGGAACACATATAGACATGTCTACTTAATGTGCTGTAACTGTTTTACTAGGCCATCAATGTAGGGTAACATTCTACTTTAATAAGTAAGGATTGTATCCTTGTAAGTTGACATATATAATGTTATATAACGTTCTATAGCGGTCCCCGCTTCCCCGCTAAGTTTGAAGCTATTGGTGAAACAAAAATATGATACTATAGCTTTTAATTAGCTGATAAGTAATATTTTTTATTGTTCAGAATATTGAATTTTAATGTATAATAGAGCGCTTCAGTGTATCATAAGTCGATTAACTTTGACTGGATATTGAATCTAATTTTTAATGTTTTATTCACTTTATTATGTATGTAACACTTGAATAAAATTAATTGCTATTATCGTTATTATTAAATAAGCATAGTATCAAAGCTCAGTCGGTTAGAACGTTGACCAATGTAACCTCCAGTGAAGATTCGAGGCGCGTGGTTCAACTCTCCAACCCGTAGTTGATGTTTTTCTCATGAAGCTGAGAAACGGACGCATCTGTGGTTGCAGTTGGACAAGGCACTTTCTCCTAATGGTTGTGGACGGCATGGGTCTACTTTATATGTTGTTCAGTGAGGTAGCCATCAATTAATACAAAGAAATCCCGCCTCAAAATAACACTGGCTGTTCATGGGACGAAAAACCATGCAGACATTTTTGATAAGCAAAGGAATTTGTTAAGTATTAACAATATGCTCATGAAACAAAACAAGTTTAGTTACTAAATTTAGATAATATTATATCCAGCAATGTCGTAAGCAGACACATTGATTTCATAAACAATAGGAGATGAATGATTCTGAATAAGTCCCACAACAATTAAATACCCATAATTCCACTTGCCTTATGACGTCATAATAGGCCAACGTCATTTTCATTGTCTCACAGTGATTTCCCTACACAACACAGTGGATAAACTGGTGAGTTGTATTTATTTTTCCTTGGTATGATTAATGAAAATGAATTTAAAGTATCACAGATCTAGAAGGTGTAGAGAGGAATTTGATATGATCAGAGTAAGAGAGCGTGTTTTGTGGGGTATGTGTTTGTAGTTTCCTCGTTTACGGAATGTGCCGAGGACGATTCCAGATAGGAGGTTGTGTGTAATTGAGGAATAGACACATTTATTTGTCAAGTTTGATGTTAAGGATGATATGATCGAGAGAAACTAGCTTTCATCTGTTATGATAACCTTTAAAGTAGATTTTAAATGTAAACAATAGGGATATTTGGTCCTATCGGTGACCTCATGTCGCCTTTTCATAATAAAGACATAAAATTACCGGTATATCATGTTTCATTTAATACAATCTTCACTATGAGGACAGCTACGTATAGCCGATTATTATCAAAGGATGATATTCTCATTATCTAACGTTACATTAACGTGAAAGCGAAAATTAAAACCGTGAAATAATGTGATACGTGTATAGTAGATATCTTTCAATCTAGATTGAGATTTTATTAACATAGTTTAAATACCATTTGATAGTTTTTAAATAAAAACCCGTGGACAATTTGACCCGTGAAAATAATCATTTTCATAGGAATTTCATTGTTCAACATTTGGCTTTCTGGCGTTCAATTATTTTTCTCACGGTTTTCAATCATACATATAATTCTTAGATTGTACACGTACTGCTGGATGTTGTTAAGAACGCGATTGATGGCGTAACCCATTGTGACATGGTTACGCTACATAAAGTGATGACGTGAATTTTTGTGAGTGATGTTTATGGTGCCCCCCCCCCTCCTTTTTTTATTGTAAAAAGCGCAATACCCATGAGCTAATTTGATCAACAGCATCAAGCGTTTTTGTAAAATTCTGGTTTGCTTCGCCGGAATACTTAGTAAACAGGCAATCTATTTGTTTTCTTCTTCATATGTGAGTTTAATCAGTAATACGGACATATCTAAAACGTACTGCTGCTGGACTCAAAAGTATAAATAATTTCCATTTCAGATTTGTTTGTTTGGTCGTTTACTTTAATATTACCTTTAAACGGGAAAATAAAAAAGTTTCATGGTAGAGAGTTACTTCCCTTTACTAGCCTTTCAATTTTATACGTTGCAGACCTCTATCTTTTCATGTCCATTATGTGTAATACGAGTACATCATCACTGGGCCACCCGACCGTCTACCCTGTTTTCATACACTCCCTTGAATCACAAAATAATATATCAAGGATATTGATTCAATGCCCTGATGACCGACACCCTTGTTTCTGAAACAACATCTATTTCTTCTATAACATGTAACATGCATACTGATGTGACTTATCGAAATTGTTTGGAAAACTATTCCGATGTTTTTTCAACACCAGTATTCTGTGACGGAAAAGCCTGAGAAGTTTTCCAATTGAAGTTATTTACAGTTCTGTTTGTATTAGCTGGACAACTGACAGAAATCAAACCGATCAATAGATACATTTATAATATATAATAATTTTAACTATTCATTGTCATTAAGATTAGCCGATAATATCCCAATTAGACAGAAATTTGATTTCTTGTGTGCACTGTTGACAATACGAGTCCATATGTCCCCGAAATGATAAAAAAAAAAAAAATGACTACTAAACGCTTGTTTTTTTTTAAAAAGTATTTGAGAATTTCGCAAGTACTATGTATAAATAAAATCAAATATCAACAAATATGTATTTCATTATGGAGAGTCATGAAGTTTAAACCTCGCGAAAATTTGATTTCTTTATTTATCATTATCATTGTAAATAACCACAAATTTAATTGAGTTCCTTTATTTCAGATTGCCGTTTCCTTGTTCTTTGTTCGATCTGGTTATACTTTAATTTACGTCATGACTCAGCGACGCCACATTGTAGTAGATCCACAGGTATGTTGTTTTCACAATTTCATAAAATATGTTTACAACTCATCCAAGATTAGACAGACTAGTTTAGTGGTTCTTAAAATAAATAATCAATAAAACATAATGAAGACAATACTGACATATTAACAGGATCTTATTCTAAACTAAACTTCGATAAAACAACAGCAGAATAAGAACAAGGGAACGATTTATAATGGGAATTATGGAGAAAAGTGCGTGGAGAATAAGACAAGGCCCCAGTCCCAGGTAGACAAAGGCTGGTTAGAGGGGTAACATGTGCTTAGTGAAAAATTTCAAATTTGAATGAAACAAAACTGGAAAAAGATTCTTTATTCATCATCTCAAATGTGAAGATTTGTCGAGAGGGGACAGAGAAAAAAGAATGATAGAAAGAAGACAGAAATACTAAATATTATCCTTGTTTTAAGGATCTTGCGGATGTTGCCAGTCTCAATGGTACAGAGGGATGTCCAGCGCCACTGCTGGGAAGATGTCTATTGGGATGTTATTACTTTTTCCGACCAAGTAAGAGGCAAGTGGTATACGAGATTGACCCAACATTATTCGTGGAGCCCGTTTGGACTGGTATTGCCTCGATGGACGTTCAAGCAAACGACGAAGTGGTAATCGACTCATTAGTGGAATCAAGACCATAGCGACTCATGTCTACGGTATTCTCCAACACCGTAGAGCGATCTCATAGCCAAATAAGGACTGTTGAACTACCAGGCCAGCTGCCAGGCAAGATGGCATCCCCAGCTTCAGTAAGGGCGAGGCAGATGGAGGGATCACTAGGTCCGGTAGACTCGACAAGATGTTTCAAGAATACTGTGGAGAATCCATGGAACTGCGAATGCCCGTCCAGTGTGAAACCAATGGAGACGAGGACAAGCAAGAATCTTTTAAAAAGATTCCGGAGACATGCGTGCATCGATATGAATGGTTCAGATCTATTCTGGGATGGACCACTGTGTAATTAGAATAGTCACGACAATGATGGTAAATTTTAAAGTACATTTACCATCAATTTTCAAAATGAATTTAGGGAACAAATGGATAACTTGATAGTTTTCTAGTACATGAACTGAAACGTAAATTGCCTTTAACAGAATTTATGTGTCTTTGGATGAGAATAGCAAGACAATCGATTTGCTTGATAATTTGACCAAGTTTCTTCATTTTTCAAAAGGATTGTGATATGACGTCTTTCGAGGAAATATGGTCATTTGGTTAAATATTGATGCCAGTATTTACATTTTTATCACATAAATCAATATCAATTTCTATATCAAATAAAATGTTGATGAAAATTGACTTCCTATCTTATATTCTTTTTATATCGACAATATTCTGAGTTATAAATTGGTAAATATATGGGGTGTGTTCGACCCGTTGAAATTTCTCTAACTTCCTCTATCGATCTAGCATAATTTTGGATCTTTAACTTCACAAAAGACCTCTGTGATAATGAAACATAGTTAAGTTTTACTGAAATGTTCGTTGACGTAGTGACCAAATATGGAACCAAAGTATCAATTTTAAAAGTGAAGTTTAACAGTACGGAATCCTGAGTTCTTTTTCTGAAGTAAAAATTGCGGGTAATACTATGAATGTTACTAAATACCATATGTTTGGTTTCGGTCTCAAGTGTTTCCGATTTTTAGCCGACCTAAATTGACCCCCCCCCCCCCCCCAACAAATTGTCTAATACAGATTATCATTACCCCAAAGCAGTTTAAATAAAGAAGAAAAATATTTGTTTCCGGGAAATGAATCTAAACGATCCTGTCAAAATTCATTAAGGAAGTTTTTTGATGACATTAAAAGCAAAATCGATGAAATGAATAAAATGACGATCAATATGCAAGTTGATGAATGTATTACAAGAATAATAACGCACAAGATAGGTTTACTATTGTTAATGAAGGTGGATCAAAACATAGGTGAATGTTGCCTCGACGAAACGAGAAAAGTTTCATAATCCACTTTTTGTTCTTTTCTCTAAATAGCTGTTCAATAAGACTAATAATAAAAGTATTGTATGTGCCTGATTTACATTCACTTGAAGGATGAGTGATTGTTTAGAGGCCATTAAGAGTTAAGTGAAGACGTCTGAGAATTTTTCGAAATCCACTTCCCCTCGGAGCTGCAGTGGTTGTTTCTGTGTGAGCTTCAATACCAGGTGGTACCTCTGTAGGTCTCTCACACTTCCACATCCTGGAGACAGTCGTTCTAGCTGAGGCAGGGCACAACGAATAGCAGCTACGTTCATTCTGTAAATTATTTGAATATCAGCATATTTAGATACAAAATAGAGGCAAAAAATTAGGTGTGTATGAAATGGAGGTATCAGCCCCTTGTAAATTAGTAATAATGTTTGATACATAGGAACAGTGACATTGATTCTGACGGAAGGAACCGAAACATATTAATGGATTAAGTTATAAATATTTATTAAAACCCTCCTTCGAGATGCAGCTGCTAAATGATGACAGGGTTTTGGGACAAGAGGGACATTTGTAACATTGCATGTCCCATTTCCAACTCCCCCTCCCCTCAATAATTTTTTCCGGGTCATCATTTGGTAGTCGATATTCACAATCGAATTTCGATCCTTCATTTTGTTTCTACGCTATATAAAGCTTATTCATATTTAAAGTGTATGTTATAGGAAGCCATTCATTCTGTCTACTTTCTTTTTCCGTTTATAGACATAAGCAAGTCTAATTTGTTTTGATCACATATGGGTAGGTTCTCATAGACTTGCTCAAGTCATTATATGGGCAAACAAATAACCACAATTGTAATAATTGAAACACAGTTAAGTATATCATAAAATTTTTACCTTGTTTGATAATCGATTTGCGAGTCCAATGTTTGATTGAAATTCAGAGGGATGACTCTTTTCAACAAACCATCAAACTCGCACTGACTCTGTATAGTTGTCATAGAGGCCGCACATTCGTTTGACTTGTTCACCCTTACAAAGGACTCCAGGACTGCACAACAGACAGATTCATGACGTTTATGTGGTAATTAATCAGTTTACTTGAATTACATATTAGAAAAGCAATCGATGATTTGTGAAATTCCGTTGACAAATTAGGATTATATGAAAAAATAAATAAATCAACAAAATAGTAAAAATAAGAAGAAGAAGAAAAAAAAAGTGTCCTAAAAAAGGAAAAATAAGGAAAAACTTCAAAGGCAATGATTGCTGTTTTAATGATTCTACAAGAACGCAATGAAGTTGTAAATAAAATATCAACTCTACCTCCGTTTTATTTGAGCCGTTCCTACTGGTGGGGGACTATCTAGTTTCATGCTGTTTGTAAGTGTAACTTACAGAATACAATAATTTCGAAATGTACACACAAACAATGTGAAATTCGGGGTAAGATAGAATTCAAAATTAAATTGATCAATGCTGCAAACATGAAACCCATGCACAATAATTAGTTACGATATTCCGCACAGCCATTAATTGTTTTCCATTTAAATTTAGATATTATCATGCTTGAAAATCAAAACACGGGTGATATAGGAAGATGAGTTTCGATGTTTCTCATGCTCAAAAGTATAATGTATAAATTCATGTTAAAAACTATATAGAGTTTTTGGGACTTCTTATCGGAAGATGAATATTTTGAAAACGAACGTTAATAGCAGTAAAGAGTGAATCCCATATTGTTAATGAATACAAATAAATATGTAACTTAAATACACAACTTATAATAAGTCACATTTTCAATATTCTCTAGCTGCAGCACAGACAGTGATTAAATTGATCGAACTCAAGTCTTGAGACCTACATTTGTTTGTAAGTAGAGTGACTTTCCCGTCTTGTTGACAAACAACACCGCTTGGTTCAATAAGACTCCTGATCTGATGTGGACGAGGACAGACTTTCTCTGCCTGCTGTAATATCCACTCAAGGGTTAGGGTTCGGCTTCTATACGTCGAAAACAAACTATTACATCAGAATAAATGCCAATATGTTAACAATCATAATCCAAGCTCAAATCCAATAGAACTAAGGCAAAATATTAACAAGAGAAAGATTTACATGACGACGCTTGAAAAGGTACAAGGTGTTCCGGAAGAGTATACACCTTCTACTTCAACGACGACACCCGCCATGTAATTCTTAGTAAATCCAATTAAGTAATATCACGTTCTCAAATCAGTTCAATTTATACAACAACGGCAACAGGCAAACCAACGAGTATCAGACACATCATGCTTCATACCGTACTAAGAAATAGAATATTTCTCAATGAGATCACCATGACGACCGTAAAACTTCCCCATAATTTTTATTAACCTGCATTCTTTGACACCATCACGGTGAAGGCCTTAAACCTGATATTAAAATCCGTACAATACAATCACCAGACGAAAAGAGTTATTCGTCTGTCTGACGTAAAGACTCATAACGTCCATTTATCATGAAGTTGTTGTGATACTACATTTGACAAATAGAGGTTGCAATTTTGATAGGTTTTGAATGTGGGCACAAGCGTTGACTATTTTTTAATTGATTGCTAAAAAATTCTCCACTCCTTGGTCGGCCTAAAAATAAAACTGGGAAACAGAGCAGGCAACACAAAATTTTAATTCAATAGACAGATTACTCCTTAATGTGTGACCTTTTTATAATCCCGATGTTACATTGAACATTGAAATGGCATTCTACCATGTCTTCAACACTATCTATTAGGACTATAAGTCATTAGCATTATCATGTAACTCACCGGCTGCATTCATATCACCAAAGATAAAAGATAGGGTTTTAGCCAGTAATTGCCGTTATGCATGTGAACATGAGTGATTAAATTAAAGGACATTCACAACAAACAAGAAATTATATGATGTCAGAATCTGAGCTCGAACGTACGACTCCATGAAAATTCGACTAACGTGGATGAAACGTCTGTGTTATAGACACCAATGTAGAAAGCATCGACATTGCAATCATAAATTCACTATTGAGAGCATAAGCACTTAACGTTTTTGGTCCACTTTGATTTTTCAAATTTTCAGTATAAGCGCACGCTTGTACCAGTTGTTGAGGGTAGAACTACAGCTATATCTGATCGCACTTGATTAGGTTCTGATGCCCAAAAATGGGTACATGTGTGCGCTATGAGTCACAATTGCATTTAAAGCTGGTGAAACCTCCATGATTTAGTTCATATTCCTTCAGGTAGCAACTTTGACGATCTGTAAAAAAATATCAAACGACAAATATCCAAGATGTTTTTCTTTCTGGTAATTGGTATTTGGATATAACTCATTGGGATGATCTATCTGAAATAATTGAAACGAGAAATTATTTTTTCCTTTTTATTGCTGGTCACAATTAGGTCGAATCAGGCGGTTACGCGCCATACAGTCCTTCACAAAACATTCCGTGTCCTTTGTTATTAATCAGAACTTTGAATTATGTGTGCTTTTACGCTACATCCTTGTCGCTTAAAATAAACAACAGACCTCGCTGTTGTTCACTTACTTGTTTTTATAAGGCTATTTGTAAATGTCATACCAGCACCTTGTAATAATTTTAATTTCGTTCATGGTAATATACAGGTAGTCCCTCCCTACTTGTATTACAAATGTAAACAATGTATTTTGTTTCTTTCTGGCGTTATTTACATTGATGCTTTATGTAGACAAATAAGCTAACAAATACAACATTTCTAACTATTACTAGGACATAAGATATTTATTATTGTACGGAGTATTTTACAACTTACCGACATTTATCTCCAAGCCAGAGAAGTAAGTCTTTCCTGTTAAGGATATCGTTGAAGTGGATTGTACGGAGTATATAACAACTTACCGACATTTATCTCCAAGCCAGAGAAGTAAGTCTGTCCTGTTAAGGATATCGTTGAAGTGGACCTGTATAAGTTTGTTCGCCTCTTCATAGGTATCATATGTAACTGACATTTCATTCAAGCTGTACACCCTAACGAGAGCTGTAACTTCACCGCAGTGTTCTTTTCTAAGTAAATTTGATGTAGAAAATCCTGCAACTATAAAATTAGAAAAAAATTACCACTTCTGAATATAGAACAAATAAATTTAAATAATATGTCAGTTCGGTACCTATTATATTGATTACAAAACTGTATAAAATCAAATATTTTATATTAGAATTATATATTGGAAATACTAACACTGATACGTAGCGACGTGTTCTAGTAGGAAATATACCTTTCCTCTACAGCTCGAAAGACAGAAACTGAAGGTTGAAATATTCTAACAATATCTGATGACATAAAGTTTTAGTAAACGATTATACAATTATAAAAATGACATAAATATATGTATATATTTTACTATCATTTGTAAGGGTTGTCAGATAAGACACGCACAAAACAATTTTATGTTACCTAGCGAACTGTCTATCCTAACCTAGAATCTGATTTTACACATCTTAATAAATAATGTTAATCTCCTATTCAAAATCAAATCTATTTTAAGTGTGAAATTCAATAGATACGTTAATCTTAAAATATGCAACTGTAACAAGAAGCTATAAAAACGGAACGTTTACATACATATACAATATACAGTTATATCGATTTTACACATAAGTATGGATATATATACCTTTATCGTGGTATAATGAATTGATCACTGAATATAAGAACGACATGTATTCAACAATATAAATAGGATATATCGAAATGAAACACAATGTTTGAAACATACCCATCAAGTATAATGTCACAGTTAGAATCATGATGATGTATGTAGTGGTGATCGGCATCTTCTACGGTATGCCTGTGTAAACACTCTTCTTATATAACCAAGGGCCCACACATTGTACATAAGATATCAGAGTACCACTTTTGATTAAGTTGAAACAATATTTTATATCAATCAATTTCAAATAACAAATATGATTATTAGTGAATAAAAACATGAAAAAACTGAATGAGCAAATTGATAAAAAGTTATACAAAATATTGATATAATTATAAATAGATAGTTTACCTTTCACTGAATTTCAAAGTAAGCCAAGTCTGGATATAAACTCTTTTTTATGATCTACATGAAACTTATATATGTTTCAGTAAGATTGTGAAATCAGGGATTTCGTGAAATCACCGAAACTTTCAGTGAATTCGTGAAACCCCTAATTCACTTATTAATTTCACGAAATAACTAAAATTTTTAGGGATTTCCGGTAATGACTGAATAATGTTTCAGTTATTTCACGAAATCCCTGAATGTCCTTTGCGTTAAATTATAGTAAGTGAAATATATATATATATATATATATATATATATATATGTAAAGGCGGTTGTTCAGTGGTGGAAGTTGTCGAAGGCGGTTGTTCAGTGGTGGAAGTGGTCGAAGGCGGTTGTTCAGTGGTGGAAGTGGTCGAGGGCGGTTGTTCAGTGGTGGAAGTGGTCGAAGGCAATGGTTCAGTGGTAGTAGTGGTCAAAGGCGGTTGTTCAGTGGTGGTAGTGATTGAAGGCGGTTGTTCAGTTATGATATTGGTCGAAGGCGGTTGTTCAGTGGTGGAAGTGGTCGAAGGCGGTTGTTCAGTGGTGGAAGTGGTTGAAGGTGGTTGTTCAGTGGTGGTAGTGGTCGAAGGCGATGGTTCAGTGGTGGTAGTGGTCGAAGGCGGTTGTTCAGTGGTGGTAGTGGTCGAAGGCGGTTGTTCAGTGGTGGTACTGGTCGAAGGTGATGGTTCAGTGGTGGTACTGGTCGAAGGCGATGGTTCAGTGGTGGTAACGACTTCTCTTTCAAATGGTGAAGAACGCCAGAATTGATTTTACTCAAATTTCACCGGAATATATTTTGGTGATGGTTTTAAATTTGATAGTAAGTCGTAGTCACCGCTCCAACAGGGGACAATAGAAGTGAATCCAACCTAGGATTCATTTTCAATATGATACTCTCTCTTTTTGTTTCTACTAAAACGATTTTGTCCCATTTTGATCCAGAACATCTTTGGGTTTTAGGAACATGAGATTTTTGTTATATTTTCTAGTCATTTTTGTTCACAATTCAACTCTGTCGATCGTTTACTCAGTAAAATAATCAAATTTCATTATCTTTTTCCTTGCTTTAACGTAATCCGTGTACACTAATTGCTATGGCAGATGAACGCGTTCTTGAAAAAAAAAATGTGCGACCCTGTAACTGCTGTTTATATCAGACTCGCATTCAACAAATGTGACATATCACTTTCAGTTATTAATGAATATATGGTAACTATGGCAACATATTTTTTTTTCGTTTGTGTATAATTATAACATTCTAGTAAATTACAATATAATGCAAATACGTGACTTTGATGAATGGATGTGACAGATAAGTTAAAACCTGCTATTTCTTTACCTGTAACTGACTTAATGTATATTTTTTCTGCTTTATAGCGTTTGATGCTTCTATGCACCTGCTTGTTGAAGTTATTGCTTGGAGCGGTATCCGTTATAATATTTCAATTTTGCACATGCTAAGGGAGACAACTTCGTTAATACGTAAGAACAACACCATTAGTCGCATAGTAATGTCATAGGTCAGACTTCATTTGTGTTCTACCTCACCGAGCGTAACGTATTCTACTGTCGTTATGTTGGTAAACTTTCTAAATATAGATTTTCAGTGATAGTTCTATTAGATCAAATCATATGCATGTGATGTATACAGTAAAAACACATCTGAGTCTGGTGTTTCTGAAATCTGGTGGCAGGTTTTGGCAGGTGTTATTTATTTTGCATGGGTTCTTATTTCTATCATTTGGACACACACATCGTAACACATAATCAACATGCTAGTATGTACGACAAGGCGATAAAGATAGCATAAAACAGCCAGAGCATCCAACAAACAATTAGTAAGGCTTGTATGGTTCGCTTCCATGGAAATAAAGGAACACTTGGTTTTCCACTACTTTTTCCTATGGGAAACATAGGATTAAAATAATAATTCGAACCATTCTAAACTTTTTATTTATTTCATTTCTCATTTCCATATTTTCAGTTAATAATGCTTTTGCTAGTGAAATATAGAAAATTGTTACAGTGACTGAACCTATGTTAATACCATAGTGAATATTTAAACAACTGCAGTGATAAGAAGTCCCTGTACAACCGCTCATACTCTGTCTACAGAATTTGATACTCTGTTCCCTGCGGGAAATAGATTTTTTTTTATTATTGAGAATGAAGCAGGTTGATATGTTGGGAAAGTAAAGATTTGGAACTCCTGCCGGGATTTCGATTTGCAGACGTGTCTGCTGGGAACGAGGCTCGCAAAAGTATCTGTCGTTACTGAGAGTAACTGGATTCTTAGCAGCAAAAATAACCTACTTATCTTCCGGGAACGAGGATAATTTGGTTACCAACTGCGAATGAAGGTGGCTGGTTTATGCAACGTGAACACAAAGATAGACAAAGGGTTTTAACTGAAACGGACGGTGGCGGGGCTGTTTCCAAGGAAAGAGGGTGGCCGATGTTCCAACCATGTAAATGGAACTAGAATGTTATATTGTAAATTGTGAGCGAGAATGGATTGCTTTAAAAAAAGAGAGAAAATGGCAAGAGCGTGACGTGGGAATGGAGTTTTACATCTGGGTGAAATTGGGCAATATGAGACTACACATCGGTTTAAGTTCAGAAATTGCCTAAACCATGCGGATCAGGAACGGCATTACTAGATAAATTATATAATGAGATAAAGAAGAGCCAAACATTATTTAAACTGTATCATATACATGTTTCGTCTTTCTAGGATTCTTCAGTAATGGTGAGGGCCCAAAGCGTTGAAACATAGTCAAGACGGATTTATTCATTACGTCGGATAAATCATAGTCTGGTCAAAATGATCTTTACCTCAAAGCACGAATAGATGGTTATCAGAGAAACACGATTTACATACAGAGACATTTTCAGTCAAATAAAATTTGACCAGGAAAAAAAATCATAATTTCATTTCGTCAACTCCTTCCACTCAATATATCAACTGGACTTCACGATAAGGCAAATGTATAATTTCCCAGCAAGACAGAGGTCAGGAATTTATAGAATGTATCTGAAAGCGGTCGTTGAGACGACTAGTTAATTATGTACTCCACTACACCATATGTTGAAAGCGTTACTTCGCCTCCCGGGACAGCCGTAATTAATGTAGCCTACTTAATGCACACACATTTACATATGCGAGTGTGTTAATGTGCTGTTTACTGACATGGGATCCGACAAACATGTATTCGAATAGTGTTTCTATATAAACCTACAGATAAATAACAACATGTGAACAGAATCATGCACACTCAAATTCAAATATAAGGACAAATAGGAACAAATGAAATATTTACACGGAGTCTACTGAAAATGCACAACGAAAATAAGACCAGGTGTTTCGGAAGAGTAAACGTATTCTGCTTCACCGACGACACTCGCCAGGTAAATCTTGGTCAATCCAAATAAGTAATATTACGTTCTCAAATGGAAACAAAGTATAAAACAACGAAACAACAGACAAACTAACGAGTATCAAACACGTGCAGCTTCATATCACTAAAGAAAAAGAATATTTCTCAATGAAATTACTGTGACGAGCATAAGGAGAAAATAATCTATAATGGCGAGATGACGTCTCGACTTTTAGGAAGGGTCATTTGTAATTACATATCAAAGCAAAAGATTACGTTTCTTTTTCGGTAGGTCAATATGGACGAAAACTGTTAAAAACTAAACAAAACAGCATTTCAAGAAAAAAAAACCACACACAAAAAATGTAAATGTATGTATTATTATACATTAAAGAGGGTACAGTAACTGTAAAGCTATCACTGCATTGACTACGCAAAATAAAAAAAGAGAATAATTTTTTATTTACACAAAAAAAAAAAAAAAAAACAAAAAAAAACCTATTAACATTTGGGAAACGATAAAAATACAAAAATAGCACATACAGTACATTAGACCAATCAGATAATTGATAACAAATGTCTCACTAAAGTACCATATCTTCAACAACTCTAGGACACTGATATGTAAGTGGAGATCCCAAAATGTGAATTTAAGCAACCAAAAGTTTGTACTCTTCCTGTCATAGCCTTTACATCCTAAGACTTTAAAGCTTTATGGCCTGTTATTCTCCGAAGAAATACATTAAAAATTATAATTAAATATTAGATCATTAGCAACATGTCAATTCAGACATATAAATCAGTTTTTTTGTGATAATGGATGTTCCCATAAGCATAATCGCTAATATCAACTGGTAAATTATACTCACTGTTATAAGAATAAGAACATTCGTAGTGTATGAAAATTTCTGATTAATTCATTTCTACAAATATGGAGCTAGAACAACAATTGCGGAAAGGTAACTATTGATCAGTGATATACTTTCAACGTATGTATTTTCGTAGTAATTTTATTTGAGCACTTTTTGCGCTGCAACTAATATATAGCGTTAGAATATGATCGCTCTAATTGCTACTTCTGTCTATATTTTATACAAAGTAATCGTTATAGATACGTGACTATTGTCACTCCTGTAATTTGACAAAATGTGATTATGTGCTAAACGTTGATTGCGTCAAATTAAGTAACTAAACTGTAAATCGTAATTATCTAATTATTGGGCTGATGCTCCTCTCTGTCTTGGTTTTGACTTTTTCTTTTTGATCAGTTTGGATTTTCCTTAGTCGCCTCATAGGCTTCAAAAATCGAAAAAAGACCAGACCTAGAAGGATGAAACAGCTGTATGATGCAGTTTAATTCATTGACTGGCTCTACTGTATCCAACTATATCTAAAGATGCTATTCACTTGCGTGTCTTTTGTACAATGCTGTGATCTATGAAATTTTAGTCTTTTATTTGCCCAGTTTTAATATAATGCTTTAAATCAATATTGATATTCGCCACACAATGTGTTCTTATAAATAAGGGTTCCCTTCTAACTCCAGATTTAAATCGACTTCATACGTGGTTTATGGACGGGGCACTGCATTATTCGTCCTTAACACATTTTTCTTTTATGACCACACCAGAGAATGTCTCATGATTATTAGTTACACACTATACAAAAGAATTTGAAATATACCAAGGGTACTGAACATGCATTCTTTTATGTTTCCTGATCACGAAAACACTGTAAATAGTAAACATATATATCGCCTTTTGATTGCTATAGAAATGAAGTATCATGTAGCATTTTCTCAACACTAATTAAGTAGAAGGAATAGGTCTGTAGAGGGCATGGTCGGTTAAGGTCAAGCCCCAAAGTATAAAAATAACCGTAGGTAGAAGAAGACGATTGTTGTGAATTGTTAAGAAGACACTATGATAAGTAGTTATCAGAGTGTCCATGCCCTTTTGTCCAATGTGTCATGGAATACATTCATGATAGTGTAACTGTCATAGTAAGTTGTTTCAACTTTAGCAAATTAAGACGTAAAACTCATCAATAATGAAATCATAAGCCATATTATTCTATGTTGGTGTTAATATTTAAACCTTTTCTGTAACTTGGAAACCATATATGATATGTCAACCATTTCCACTGTTGAACTCAACCTTCCCCCATAAATCAGCTCTTGTTGTTATGCGTCAAGTTGTTGATGCTTTCCTACAGCTTGAGGCTTTACAATATGGATCAGTTACCTAGAAAGGGTATATATTGTATTCAAAAGCTGTTTTTCCCTTTATCATTATCTGTAAAGCAGTTATGCAGAGTTATCTGCTCATGCGGGTATTGATTGTTACGTCATTAGTTTACGAAAGAAAATTACATCGTTATTCACAAATTTATGATGCTACTCTCAAGAGAAGGTAACTATGTATAATAAAAAGACGGAATCATTTGTGATTCCTGTTCTAGTAAAAGGAAATATCTACTTTAACCTGTACCATGAATCCAATTCCCACCTACACCATCACGAACGTTAATGATACAGATTGACCTTATTCGTAGTTTTGATAGCGTTTTGCTCATAAAGCTTTATACAACATTAAAAGGGGAATTCTTCAACTTTGTACATTTTCGTGCAATGAATGTTAGAATGCATATGACCGTACACGCATCCTTAAAATTGGAACAGGTAGCTAGTGTTATGGTTTGAAACGATTATGTAATAGATAATGTTTTTACCATGACTAATCATGAAAGTAACGTAAGGTCCTTCCACATTCAATGCATGAAAATCTACTATGCACTTAATCATACTCATGGACATTTAAAGAAAATGAAGTGAACGAAACCTAACACGTTCGAGCCATAAAAATTACCTGCATGTCATATTCTACTCCAATATATCGAAAATGTGTATTTAAAAACCGTGCAAACAATAAGATTCTACTCGTATCGCGACAACGCTTTCAGACAACATTTGTCGCCCATTGATAGATGAAATGCCATGCGAGATCGACCATAGCTTAAAAACAGCAGTAGAGACTTTAATTTCCCTGTTTTTTTATTACGAATTTGTGAGAGGCACGTTACACGCGTACTGAGATGTTGTTTGCCGTAGTCCACGAATGTAGAACAGTCATCATCACAATATCATCAGCGTGTACACACCTCTAGTGTTTACAACGGAAGGAAAAACACACTGTATTGACCGTGGATTACTTTCATTAAGTGTTATAGATGTAAATTGACCTACGTGATCATCGAGTGTATTCATGGTAAAATCGATATATGTTTTAACCTGCCACACTGACCGCGTTCTACCAGTAAAAAGCATCTAGTGTGTTTGTGTTACATCTAGTAGTAACCTAGCTTTCCTAAGTAGCTTTACTCATTGCTGTGTTTCAGAGGTGATCCGACAGTCATTTCTTTCTGTGTGTTCTGCTGGTATACCGATATATTTGGTACCTGTACAAAATATTCCAGGATTAATCTTACTATCAGGATTTAAACAGTGATTCGTGATGGTCAGAGAACAGTGGGCGCGGAACTCAGAATTCCTTCTTTCATGTGTTGGCTTTGCAGTTGGTCTCGGTAATATTTGGAGGTTTCCATATCTATGCTACAGGAATGGCGGTGGTAAGTGTATCTCGTTATGTAATGTGTTTAGAATACTGACTACAGGGAATCATTCACCAAAGCAGTTTTTGATCTTAACACAAAACTGTTCATTTCCAAATTGTTTTAAATTCGTCTGAAATTATAAAAAAAAACAACATTTTTTCCCGTCAAATCTTCAAGTTTTAATGAATCTTGCATCTTTGCCCTAATTGCGTTACGGTGATAATTTCCGGGTATACAGTTCAATACAATGTTCAGTACACGATGTATATACGTTTACCGAATGGTTGTACACGCTTATAGTGTAAGCTTTGATCGACATCAGCATATAAGTACAAACAAGAATTCAAACTGAAAAGTGAGCTATTATTAATTAATTTGAAAATGAGGTCCACCGCAATTTTGACATAAAAGTAGTGACATTCTTGAAAATTCAATGTGTCTTATGTATCTAAAGATATCTGATGAAATTAATTGCTACTTAGCCAAGTGCATGTGGAATGCTTAATATTCATTCAAAGCATTTTTATGATATAGTTATGTGACATGTCAACTGAGAGAATACAACCTGTCCGTCAAAAATATGAATTTCCGTTGAAAAGTTGCTTTCAGTTTTGAGCAATATTTTGATATTTACCTATAAATAAGGTTCATTACGCACCCAAATGTTTAATATTGTTGAAATGGAATTGTAGGTATGTGTATGATAGGAGCAAAGATTAGATAAAAAAAAATGAAATGCATATTACAAGCTTCTCATTCTCAGTTGCTATTATCTTCCGATTAATAAACATGAATTTCGAAGTTCCTTTGCACCCTTCACATTGATGAGATCTGTCATGAATTCTTGTTTCAGAAAATCCAATAAATAACCCATAGCGATTGTTAGGACAGAGATCAGAGTGTCCGTAGTACCGGCACTGCCACCTTGATATCTCCCCTCCAGAACACGTAAAACACAGTGATGAATGACGCAATATATATATATGTATATATATATATATGTTATGATGATCACATTAAGCGTTGCGCATGTCTCCCTTTTTATAATAAAAAACAAAATGATTGTATTAAGGGTATCAGTTGCAACGCTTTACGTGATAATAAAAGAAGCTTATTATATTAAACGTAGCAATCGCAACGCTTAATGTAATAATTATTAGATTAAGAGTTGTTATTACAATAAAGAGTTGCAACGAAAGACCTGGATTTCTAGTTGAAATATGACGTAATATACTCTTTTATTCACAAAAAGCAAGTGCTTCTGGTACAACATGTCTGTTCAAACAATTTATGTAAAGTAATGAGCTTTAATGTTTAATGAAAATTCTTACTACAATGGTCGTTACTGATGCTTTTAATTGCCTTGAAGTTTATTATACATTAAGTACAATCCTATTAGATACTAACCAAATAACTCATTAAATGTTGGTTGTGTTCCTTGTACAGCATAGTATTTTCGTTAAAAAGTCATGTATAACATATTATTAGAAATGCTGCATGTTGTAAAAGCCTTAGAACAGAAACCAGAATGCCATTACATACATTGTAATATGTGAGAGAATATCTACTTTGGAGATACTCTTTGTCGTTAACTGGTAATGTTGACAATTTCCAATAAGAATCTTTCAGCATTCATAAAGACCGTACAAAGTCATACTATTACCTCATTTAGAATACAATGCTTCTATTCACAATGCCCATCGTATCTACCGCCCAGAACTGCAAGTCATCGCTATTGTATAGAAATCGTGTTGTATGTCGTTGTATCATTCAGAGAGCTTCTGTATTAATCTATCTGTTGATGAAATCTTGTGCTGATTGAATAAACTACAAAAAATGACAAAATATCAAAGAATGCCAGGCTAACAGTTTAAAGTTTCCACACGTATGCAATTCTCGGAAATATTTTGTACTAATGTGATCAAACCAAACAGCATATTTTGTGCTTTTGTGTCTTCTTTTATTTTGTTTTTAAAACCACCTATTTAAAACCCTACTTGAGTTATCAAAATTATTTTTCAATACAAATGTTTCAAAATAAATCCGTGACCATGAAAGTTCAGTCGGTAAATCGGACTACTTTAAAGCCTTTTTTAAAAGGGAGATGTTATATGTGTTATCAACTTCCCAATCAGGCGCGAAGAGGGTCTCTAAGGAATGATAATGACCGTCTTGTGTGTAATGAGATATAAACAGATTTGATAGATATAATAACCCGATAGTTACGAGGGAAAGAACGACGCTTCATGTTACTACTCAGGTTGACATCGTGCATAATATCACCCTGAGCAAAACACTATGTCGTTATTTTAAGATATAACGTTTGACAATTAAAAATCAATATCCGGAATGAATTACTGCTTAAAAAAGCTTTTTTTGTGTCTTAAATTTTCCGAGGATATGCTTCATCTTATTTTCCACTTCCATGAGTCCAGTGCCTAAAGGTAGCAACCTGACAGTAAATGCATTGTTTGATTTTCCAGATCTGATGATAAAAACATTCTTTGAAAATAAAGATAACATCTCTACACGTATATGGTTGTGAATTATATGTCAATAAAACAGATAACATACAGAGGATAATTATACTATCATACTGACCATGTCTTCATTGATTTTAGTGCCATGACCTTTAAACAAATTATTGACATACTCACGGTAACGGAACAAAGCAACCTTTCCACTTTGTTGTATGAAAGGCGTTGTGGTTTAGGATTTCCTGTTGTGCATTTTCAACTTCCGGGACACTTTAGTTTCATTCCACGTGTACTTTTTCATGAGTCTTCGCGTAAATCTTTCTTTTGTTCATATTTGCTGTAGTTTTAATAAAGTTGAGTTTGTGTTAAGATTTTTTTGACATGTCAGTATTTTCTTTGTTGTTTTTGTACGCAATATTGAGTGCAGAATAACTCAAATGAAATGGTATAATACATGTACTTTCAGCTCTATCTTGACTGTTGCATATATTTGATTTGGATAGCTAACTTTTTTATTTTTAGTGTTTTATACTAAGAACAAACTGGCCTGGAATCGTACTAGTACAACACATTTTATCATGGCTACAACAACCAATTACTAACTATAAATCTCTCTGTGATACAAACGGCCTTGTCAACGATAAAAAAATATCTTCCGATCTTTCTACTGATTACAAACACAATTTATCATGGCTTCGATATGGCCTGTTTGATGACATCGTATCGTTTTCATTGTGACACATAATAATACTGGTTGTCACATGTATAATACCTGTAAATATGGCATGAGGTAATTCGTATTTGTCCTTGATAACGGTTAAAAGCTTTAGAAAATAACGATTTTTATTTTGTGGACGCATAATATTGTTAGACAACACGGGTAACATTACAGTTGTTATTTCATCAGGAATAAAATATGAAAGCTCATTATAACCAGTCAATAATATCAAGGAGTATTGAAAAAAATTTGAGTACATATATGATCGATGGTCGTATTCAGGTAGTTGCAGTACAATGGAACTATTGATCTTAACAGCATCCATCGGGTTTTACTGGTAAGATACCAGCTACACTATAACGGATCCTCTTGTCTGAAATGCACACAAATGGTGGCAATATGAATCAATAACCATGGCAACTATCAATGCGATTAAAACAATCATCAATATCAAACGGAGCAGTGGTAACGTACTCGCCTTTCACCCATACTTTCGGTATTAGATACCGCGGTTGAACATTAAATGGCATAGGCGTACTACGTGGGATTTGCCACTGGCACTCTGGGTTTCCTCTACCAAACAGATTCCTCGTGCGAATCCGTCCGGAACAACAAGATTGATTTCTGCTGTTAAACGATTTAAGCTGTTTCCGTAGAGTAATTCGTGGAATTAACAACAAATATATATATTAATATATATCATGTATCAAATTAAAAACAGAAAAGAAAAAGACAAACTCAACAACAACAACAACAAAAAAAGTACCTTTGATTACTCTTAAGCAAAGTCCGATAACACACGTGATACATCACGTCTTGCAACAATATTAGTAACCATTAGAAACAATATGCATTAAAAGAGTGTTGCTAGTTTCATTCTAAACAGGTAAATTATTTTTAAAAAAGAAAACGTAAATTCACCCTTTGATATATGTCAAAGCTGAAATTGGAAGATCTTTGATACGAATGGACCTTTTTATCCGGAAACGAAATATCGATTTTGCTTTTGATGCCATTGACACTAGCTGTCACTGTCTAAATGAGTCATACAAAACATTTGATAACTAATAACTAATTCAACCTCATTGACATGGGAAATGATATTAATTGATTCCGTGAAGTCATATCTGTTACCGCCATCAATGTGTCTCTCGAAGTTCCATATCTATCAGTTATTGACCTTTGATGTGGTCAGTGTCGTGTAATATCGACCTGATAGATAAATGTTGACAGAGGACGCAGACTTTAAACTGAACATTTCAGGTAATCAACACGTGTTTATTTTCTCGACATGTGAAAAAAAACCTAAATATTTTTATGAAAGCACTAAAATATTTTCCATCCTCTTCCGTACACCAGAACAAAAAAAAAAAAAAAATAAAGAAAATACCAACATGGCAATATAATCATAATTTAAACTAAAATTCCATAAAACTAGGGCAAAATGTGAACAAAAGAAAGATTTATACGTAAACTCCTGAAAAAGCCAGGGAAATCTTGGTCAATCCATGTAAGTAATGTCACGTTCTCAAATGAGTACAAGGTATACAACAACGGAACCAACATGAAAACTAACGAGCATCAAACATGTCCAGCTTCATGTCGCACACAGAAATAAGATATCATTGTGGCGACCATAAAACTTTCTCATAATTTTCATCAACCTGTATCTTTTAAACCCCTGTGTTACGAGCTTGTCAGTCAGTTGACGACTTCTTGCACAAAAATCGTAATACTGGGAATGGGAACAGGCCCTTGATTACTGTGACATAAATACCATAATTTGGAGATGCAGGGATATTGCTATCCAGAGATGGAAA